CGACGACCATTATGTTGATGTCGACGGCATTGGCCACGTCCACTTCAAGCAGACTGTCCACGGCATCGACATTGACAATGCTGATTTCAAAGTTAATGTGAGTGACATCAACGACAGGATACCAAGTGAACAGGGGCTTACACGTTCTCCAGGTTGGACGAAATGGCAGAGTCTTTTCCCACGGCAACAGCTTCTTCAGCGGCAAGCTCCCCGCCGAGAACCCCCTGACGAAGCGCGCCTTCTCCGAGCCCACCGAGGCCCTCAAGGGCGCCGTCGACATCCTGGGTCTCCCTGTCAAGGCCGACAGCGCCACCGCCGAGCCCCAGGAGGGCACCGAGAAGTACGTCCTCAAGGGCACCTCGGGCGCCGTGAGCGACCCCGAGGCCCGCCTGGTGTACCTCGTCAAGGCGGACGGCACCCTCTCCCTGACGTGGCGCGTCGAGACGGACGTCGTCGACAACTGGCTGCTCACGTACGTCGACGCCGCGACCAACCGCGAGGTCCACGGCGTGGTCGACTACGTCGCCGACTTCGCCACCTTCGAGGTCTACCCCTTTGGCGTCAACGACCCGTCCGAGGGCGACCGCAAGACGCTCACCGACCCCTGGCGCATCGACGCCTCGCCCTTCACCTGGCTCGGCGACGGCACGACCAACTACACCACCACCCGCGGCAACAACGCCATCGCCCAGGTCAACCCCTCCGGCGGCAACGACTACCTCAACAATTACCGCCCCAGCAGCCCTTCCCGGGCCTTCGAGTACCCTTTTTCCCTCAGCCAGACCACCCCCGCCGACTACCGCGACTTCTCCGTCACCCAGCTGTTTTTCACCGCCAACAAGTACCACGATCTGCTCTACCTCCTCGGCTTCACCGAGGCCGCGGGCAACTTCCAGGTCAACAACAACGGCAAGGGCGGCAAGGGCAACGACTTTGTCATCCTCAACGCCCAGGACGGCTCCGGCACCAACAATGCCAACTTTGCGACCCCGGCCGACGGCAGCAGCGGCCGCATGAGGATGTACATCTGGACCGCGTCAACGCCTCGCCGCGACGGAGCCCTGGAGGAGGGCATTGTCATTCACGAGTATACCCACGGATGTGAGTGGTTGCTCCCCCCTTGACCCCTTTTTGCCACCTTCGACCCCTTCCCCCCTATTCCCCCCCCCTCAGTCTCTTTAATATGAGACCCCCTCTCTTTCTTCTTCTTCTTCTCCATAACTGACCCTCAAACCAAACAGTGTCCACCCGTCTCACCGGCGGCCCCGCCAATTCGGGCTGCCTCTCCGGCCTCGAGGCCGGCGGCATGGGCGAAGGCTGGGGCGACTTCTACGCCACGGCCATCCGCCTCAAGCCCTCCGACACCCACTCGACCAACTACCCCATGGGCGCCTGGGCCGACAACAACCCGGCCGGCATCCGCCAGTACCCGTACTCGACCAGCCTGACCACCAACCCGCTGACCTACAAGTCCGTCAACTCCCAGACCGAGGTCCACTCCGCCGGCACCACCTGGGCCACGATCCTCTACGAGGTCCTCTGGGCCCTCATCGACAAGCACGGCAAGAACGACGCCGACTTCCCCACGTTTGACAGCCAGGGCGTGCCCACCGACGG